AACCTGGGGTTCCGCCTCCATCAATCATGCATTCACACAAAAATACACACTCTTGTGTGTTACAGCCTGCTCAGTGTTTTATAACTAAGGTGTCACTTTATTTTTAAGCTCATTTAATAAGACAAGTTGAACCAGAACAGACTCATTTGGAGCAGCATAGAAACACATACAGTACACACATGGATCACTGTGTAGAGCTATGGGCAGCTTCTGCACAACTTCTATAATTAATTAAAGTCCCACTCCAGAAACATTTTCATTTTTATATTTGTATATAAAAATACTTTACTATAAACAATATGCAGTCTAACACAGCTTTTCCTCAAAAAAATTTCAGTGGGCCTCTGTAATAGGAATGAACATTGCCCCTCATTGTGCATTCCAGGATCTATGAATGTTGCCGTCATCCCTTATGTGGATTTGAATAATTTTGCACGCCCAATTTTTCAGTTTTTTATTTGTTAAAAAAGTTTGAAATATCCAATAAATTTCGTTCCACTTCATGATTGTGTCCCACTTGTTGTTGATTCTTCACAAAAAATTACAGTTTTATATCTTTATGTTTGAAGCCTGAAATGTGGCAAAAGGTCGCAATGTTCAAGGGGGCCAAATACTTTCGCAAGGCACTGTACAAGCCGCCTTTAATTGACATCGGGGTTTAGTAAGATCAAGTGTGTAGCAAATATGAGAAAACCAGAGGCTCACCCCAAAATAAAAGCACAGGATTCGTTTTTGAACTCATCAAGGACCTGAGTATAAAAATAGTTTGAATTAAAACTCTTGAAAAACACATGCTCATATGTATATACAGTATATATATATATATAGTGTGATCAGACTCACCTCATTCTGTTCAAACATTATAAGATTGTACAATTTATGAAACTGCTCAAAGTCCAGGCGATCTTTCTTTGCTCCAACATCCTGCAAAATCAAAATGTAAAAGCACTGATTGAGACTACAAGAGCACTGTCAGGTTTGCCCAGCTCCACCTTCCTCTCTTCTTCTTCCTCACACTAGCCTAGCCCTTGCACTGATTACACTATTCAACACACCTGCCCCGCTTCCCTGATTACTCACCAGCTGCACCTCATTAGTCTCCTCCATACTTATACACTGTTCACCAGTCACTCCCCTGCCAGTTCTTTCTCTATCTTCAGGCCAGTGGTTGTTATGTTGTTTTATCAAGTTTATGCTAAGATTGTCTTTGTTCTCTCTAGTCCTTGTTAGCACCCTAGTCGTTATCCTGCCCTG